TTTATTCATCAAAAAAAAAACTGTTTAAATTTCCATGCTGAACTGAATATTCAATGAGAATAAAGGAACAACTGAACTATACATTAATGTCATCATCATCATCATCACTTATAATAAAATTTTAATTTTTTATTATTTTTTTCATCTCATAAAACTTTTGCCATTCGTCATGAGTCTCTTATGCTATAATCTTTGAAAAATAAAGATGTGACTTAAAATGATTAATTCAATAATCTTCTTATGCTATGAAAGTTTTAGGATGGATTTTTGTTTATGGTTGAGTTTTTTAGTTGTTTTTTGAATATGCAGGGAGGTGGGATTCGGGTTTGAAAGTTTTTTTAAGGCTCCTGCGGGTAAACTCTTTTAGGAACCGTTTAAATAAATCTTATGCCTAGCAGTGTTGTCCAAACCAAAGGTACGGAATTAATAAATTACATTTTTATCATTTTTGATCATTTCATCAGTACCACACCCTTGGTCCAAACTGTGTGTCGTCAAGTTTTTTTTGGAAATGACACAAATCGAATGCAGTGTGCGACCTCAGTCATGGCTTTCTCCGAAGGTGTGTTGTGACTCATAAAGTTTGGACAACACTGCCTAATAGAGAAGTCTACCAGTTTTTGATTTTAGGGTACGGTTCTACTAGCGGACTTAGAAACTGGTTTCTGTCAACTTATGCGTAGCTAGTAGGATAATTGCTAATGATAATCATTTTTAATGTGCCTAACATACACTCTAGAGTGTATTTTTGCTGCAATTGGCTTTGATATCATCCATTGTGCTTAGTTTTAATGCCTAGGACCTTCCTTTAGTTTCGAAAACTTAGTTCATGATGTTCCTTGTCAGTTTAGTCTCTCTTATAGATGCATTAAGCATAATGAAAACCCCAGAAACCAAATAACTACAATAAATCAAAAAATCAGCGAAATTTTCTGATTGCCAATATTAGTTTTCCTTAAGCTAGCATTTCAAACCATCCCAAACTTCCACAACCCTGTAAAATTCAAAAGCAAACTCAAAACTCTTTAATCACGCCATAAACAAAGAACATAACATGAAAAATATTGAACTTTAAAATAAAGACATAACAAAAAGTCACGTAAGTATTTATAAGAAAACTTTTACAATATATTTTCACCTTCATTTCTCCCCTTTTAAAGCTTTACTGATTTCTTTGTATCGTCTACATTTTGTTGAAAATTTAAATGGTCCTTTTTAAATAAATATATAGTAACGACGTCAATACTTTCCTACATGTAAGAACATTTAAAAGTGTTGTTTAACTTTGTGCAACATTCAACAGTAAAAGTAGAATAGAATAAGAGAAAGAGAAGGAAAGAGACAAACCCCAAAAAAAAAAAGGTTTGAAGGTAAGAAAATGTAAATTTAATCTTCCACCTTTTCTTACATTTACATCTATCTCTGTGCATGTATATATGCCGTACATATAAATACTTTTTATTAATTTCCATTTTCAACAGTCCTTAACATTTGAAAATAAATTGATCGTGATGGTATAAGCGTTATATTGAAAAAATAATGTACTTCTTCTTATCCGTAAATTCATTTTTTATACAATTTTTTAAATTTATTATTTTTCTTCTTTTAGAGTATTTTCTGGAAGATGTAGGGGAAGAGAGAGAGAGAGAAAAAGTTTTTTCTACATTTTCTGAAATGTATGTTTGTTTAAAATTGTGACAATGTGGAAATAGCTTTCAAAGTTAACACTTCGTTCATTTTATTTTATTAGGACAGGAGTTGAAATCGATTTTTGTTGAAGCTTTTTTGGTTTGTAATGTTTTGGTATTGATTGACAAACTGTCCCAATCAGTATACATTGAAATATTTGTCATACGGCAGCTAAGTTGATAGTATAATTCAGGGGCGAAGCCAGGAATTTGAAGAGAGGGGCAAAAAAATTTTTTTTTGTATGGAAAGCTTTTAGGAGGGGGTGGGGGGGTTCGAGTTTTTCATAAAAACTCTAGCAAAATGAAGAAATTTCTCAAGACGAAGGGGGATTTGTCCCACTTGGAAGCCATTTCCTAGTGGGTTCCAATTTGTTGTTCCGTGCCTTTTATTGCTAAGTGGCTGCGACTTGGTTCTAATCATACTATCAACCCGGCTGCTGTGTGGCAAACATCTCAATGAATTTAAATGTGAATCGATCAGGTAAATGATGACAAATTCACTTGAAATTAGAGTTAGTAAATTTGTGGCTAAAACCACTTCTTTTTTGCCATTCTGTAATGAAACTACTAAAGAAATGTTAAGATTCTCTAAAAAATTGGAGGTTTTGGTGTGGTTCCTTTTAAATGTCATGCATATAATATTAAATAATCATTGTCTGATGAGGATTGACACCTGCTGCCTACCTTTGGTTACTTTAAGGGACTACCTATTTATACCTTAAAGGTATAATGGATGAGAAGGATTTTATTTGGTCGATAGAATTTTAATTCTTGAGTCTGTTGCCACGAATAATCCTTAAGCCCCTTCTGCATCAAAAATGATCAAAAAAAGGCTGATCATCTGTTTAGGTTTTCAAAAGACAGTTCTCAATTTATTTTCATTTTTCAAAAATGAAAAATGCTTCAATTTGTCTATTTTTATCCTAAAGCCCAGAAAGTGAATAAAACTACTCGATTTGAGGGATGTTCAATATATTTCTCAAAAATATCTGGTAACCCTACGATTAAATGACTTTACGGATCTAGGTTTGAACCAATTTGACCAATTTTTACTTGCAAAGCTGCATAGAATCATTAAAAATTCTTTTATATGAGAACATCCTCATATCGACAGTTAATCTTGCATCATAAAAATTTTCTTGTTTTTCTCGTAAACTTAAGATTCTAAAAAAATGTCAATACTCGTAAAATTCACCAATTTCCATTCAATTTCCGAGCTAAGAGACATTAAATCAACTTCAACTCCTGACGAACTTTTTTATTCCAACACTTCTTTCCTGTTTTTAAAGGTTTTTTCTCTACAAAATAATTTTTTTCGCAAATTTTAATTTTAATCCTTTTTAATCTCTTTTATTTCTACACCATCGGAAAATTTATATTTCCCATAATTTTTAAAATACTCTACCACCAACGAGTCAATACATATAAAAATTTATCATTAATCATGATCGTAAAATTTCAATACCAAATAACATCCAAAATATGCAAAAATTTATTAACAAAAAAAAATTCGCCTTTTCATTCTTCTATTTTGAAAAACTTTACAGCATAAACTGTCGATAAAATGAAAAATTATTTTTCGCATTTACATTTTTGGTCTATCCCACATTGTTGAAAAATTGTTTTTTTTTGTCAGTGCTGAAAGTCATAAAGATAGAATTTCATTTGACTAAACATTATTCATCGTTTTTTTGGTTTTACTATCCATAAAATTTATGTTTATATGTCAATGGAGTGTCTTCCTATTAAATTTTTTAGAATATGTTGAGGAATAGAATTTTTTAAGATAATATATTAAGGATATAAGTTGAATTTGACAAAGTTTTATTCGCATGAACAATGGCTTTATTTGTTTTAAAGCTTATGATTTTTTTGAAATATGTTTGAAAAATGTTCAAGGTTTAGATACTGTTTTAGTAGCTTTTAATGCAGGATCCACAACAAAATCTATAAACTAGTGCTCAATCCTATTTATAGGGGAAGAGGATGTTGAGATTTGTGAATATCATCTTGGAAGTCTTGCTTTGTTGTCATCAGTCATTAGGAGAGCTCGAAGTCGAAAGGGTTCTCGAAGCCTCGACTTCGAACTCTGGTCATTAGTCAAGTTTAATATACAAAGCTTGATCTCAGGTATAATAGGTTCTATCATTAATCCTAGGGCCGGTTTCTTGTGCTACCCAGGGCACCATACTTAAATCTCATACAAAATATTGTAGTACATCAAATTTAATTTTTTTGTGCTAGCGTCCTCTGAGTAGCCCTTGAATTCAGCCCCAGGTTTGCAGATCTTCGGCTCCTGGAAATGTTTTACATTAGAGACTCTTACTAGAGCTTATAATGACATTTGTAGATCTTTCCAGTTAAATCGACCTAATTCTACATCAAAATCCTTAATGTTAATGCTTAACAGCCCTTAAAAATCAGTATCTACACCTCGAAACATACAACTCCAAATAAAAGAATTATATATTTTTACCAAATGTATATCTCATAAAAGCGATGTACAATTTATGTATGAATTTTATATTATTTTTAAAAGAAACTGTCATGTTTTGCGTATGCTTTAATAAACATACTTCAAGTTGAAATTTTATATTATTCATATTCACATGGTGAATGTATATCATGTGATATATATTTTTTTGGCAATTCTACTTTCTGGAATTCAAAGATCATGAGATAAACTGCAGAAATTTGCATACTCATTTGATTATTTTCTTACATGCTTTCCTCGTTCGTTGTGTGTTTTAAAATTTGATAATAATTTTTATAGGTAAAGGAAGTAAGCTTAGGCATGTAACAAAATCTTATCTGACATTCCAAAAATCTCAGCTTTTTCACACGGCAACAATGCAAGAATCTCTGTGGCTGAACAGTTATTTTGTCTCTGAAAATTTTTACCAACTGCTCATAATTTTATTATACTTGATGCAGACAGAATAATTAATTCAAGAAGCGTCTCGTGGCTCTTGTGAGTGAATTTTATGAATTCCAAACACTAAAAAGCTGTAAAAATTATCGCTTGACAAAATGTTGTAATGGTCATGTCTTTGAGGAAAAGTACCGTGAAAATTGCGATTTTTACGGCTCACGGATGATAAGTTTTCTGTGATTTGTAATGATTAGATGACTTTTTGGATCCTTGTAGAGATTTTTTTGGGAGGATTTTGATACAAATGTTCAAAACTTGCTTTTTAGCCACTTTCAATTTGCTGTCATGGCTGATCATTTTTATTATTGTTAATGATGTGCTTCAAGAACTGAATTTGAATGTCATTTAAATTAGTTGATTTAACCTAGATTTATTATGTATCGAAGTCTTATGAAGCTAATTTTGCCATTGCAAGTTTTAAGCTCTTTTGGTTGAAGGATGAGAAACAAGCAAATTCTTGTTTTTAAGAAACTCAAAGTACAAAGACATGGGTTCGAATCCCGTTAGCTACTGAGTTTCAATATCTTCATAATCCACTAGATGAATTGGTCTAGGTGTCTATCCTTTCCTTCAACATCAAATTAAATCCTCTCAACTCAAAGACTTCTCATCAGTTCCTCTTTAACTTGCATAAAAATCTTTTCAAGCAACACAATTTCTCTAAAATCTTCAGAAAATTCATTCTAAATCCTTTTGAAAAATCCCTCAAATCTTCTACAAGGAATCGTGTAATTACATTTTAAAAGCACGATAAAAAAATTTGCTGAATATCATTGAGAGTCGTTCATAAATTACGTCACTCGAGAACACAATTTTTGATCCCAACGCCATAAAATTTTGAATGAAAAATAAAATATTATTTTCCTTAAAATGTTTTTTAAAACCGTACACCCCCTTTGCTGAATATCAAACGTAATAAGTGAACAGCCCTTAAAATGTTGCCAAAGAATTTTACATTTTCGCAATTTCTTTCGATCAAATCAAATCAATATCTTATCAGACCATTTCAAATATTGAAAATGGAAATTTTTATGGCTTTTTCGTTTGATGCCGCATCAGAAAAGATTTGTACAAATTTTCAATCTTATTTCTTTGCTTGTTTGAGTAATAAATATGCCAATACTTTTATGATTATTACTCGACTATGAGAAAGATTTTTTTTAAAATTTAATTTTTTTTTATTATTTTTTTCTCAGAAACGCACTTTAAAGTCTAAAGGAAGTGAGAAGAAAAAAGAGAGAAAAGTAGTAAAATAAAGTTTTATATTCACAATTGCTTATCATGAAGTAATCATATCCTCAGCGCCGGGTTAAAAAACAGTCTGAAAAACTCCTATTGATCTCAATAACCCGTCATCTTTGTGGCACGATAATAGAAATTCATCCAGCGATATTTTGTCATCAGCATTTAGATCCATTTTCTAAAAATAGGAGGTAGAAGCACAAAAAAATAGAAGAAAATTTTAAAATGAGGGTTTAAATGAATGAATGAACTTGAAAGAAGGAAAGGATGATAAAAAAGCTCATGGCAGCATCGGGGGTAAAGGGAGTGAATAAATAAATTTATGTGAGAATGAACTAAATTAAAATATTCTGCTCGACGATCTGAAATGTGACGCATTTTCCCTTTGAGAAATCAACACTTACAAGAGACTCGGGACTGTTGAATTGGAGGTGAAAAATATGTCGAGGAATAAGATTTTTTTAAAAAAATTTAAGGAGGGGTTGCAACAGTCTGAAGCATTTTTGAATATATTTGTCTTTCTTTTATATCAGTTGCTACATAGCATCGGGGATAATACAAAATAATTGCTTTGTTTTAGCTAGTTGACATGGAACTGCACCATCCAACTAGACATGGATACATTTTTTTATATGCATCAATGACTTTTTTTTGGATCAGTACTTAAGTCTTTGGTCAAACTAGTATCTCGCAACACAAATAAACTTTTACCTTTTCAGATCAATTATGATCCAGAAGTGCGCTAGGGCGTTTCGCAGCTAATGATAATTTTACGAGTTAGGAAGCGCCAAACCACAGCATTCAAACCTAGAACTACAATTTATTGTGGAATCCGAACCACTTCTTTGATGACATTTCAGTCTGTAGCCTCCAAAGGAAGGCTGTGAGCCTCATTTTCAGTATACATGGGTCGAAAAGGAGAAGTGCGAAATTTCTAATACCCAGTCCCGAACCCATATTCACTGTGTCGATAATGTATTAAATCATTCCGCCACCGAGCCACTTCAGCTCACATCTCGCGAGACAAAATATGTTAAAAGCTTGCTGATGGTAAGGGGCCGTTTACTTATTACGTTACGCAAAAAACTGACTTTTTTCACCCCCCCTCACCCCCTTGTTACAACATGTCACAATTCGCAACCCCCCCCCCCCTCCCCCCCCCAAACGTTCATAATTCAAATTTTTTTCGTGCAATTTCAAAAACGACAGTTAGAACGTTACATTCTTCTTGACAACCCCCCCCCCCCCCCCTATGTTACATTTTGTTACAATTTTTCAAACCCCCCTCCCCCCTAAAATGCGAACCCCTAAGCTATCTTGGTCATAAGTTCTATTGAAATGTGTGTTTGGATTCAGAATATTGTAGTAAGCAGAAAAATTGTCTAGAAACTCCCCATTTAATTCATGACCAGACAAACTAGTACAAACTATAAATCCATCAACTACTTCACCTCCTCTCAATTTTGAAAACACATAAAAAACTACTTTAAAAAAAAAAATACTACTTTGAGAGGAAAAAAGATGAATGGATGCTGTTTATGAATATCTTATTAAAAGGTTTAAGTGGATATAAACATAAATACACACACATACCTTAAACATACTCTCAACTTTTGCTTTGATTTGGCTTTCCTCTTTACAACCCTCTGAGATTTTTCCCATTAACTCATAAACCGATGTCATCACCTCAGTCATTTCCTCTTTCGATATATATCCATCGCCATTGACGTCATAGAGTTGAAACGTCCATTCTAGTTTCTCATCGAGACTGCCACGTGAGAGGGTTGACAAATTAATAACAAATTCCTAGATTTAAATAATTTATTTGGACATTCATTATTAATGTAGTCGTAAATTGTCATTTCCATTTTCACTTGCATAATCTCACATATTCATGTCATAGATAAAATAGATATATGTGAGCAGATGCCGTAAAATGGTGCATTAATATGCGATAAATAGTCACATATTGTCTACAAATTTTAATAAAATCGCATCGTCATTACCTCAAAGCTCACGCTTCCATTTGAGTCCCTATCTATTGAATTGAATACATAATGTGCATATTGTGCTGTGCTAGCTGCAATGAGACAGAAAAAGGAGAACAGCGTCATATTGATGTATTATAAATTCTATTAAATTATTCCATTTTCTTCTTGCTTCTTTCATTTTCGATGCATTGCGGCATAGTTATTTTTAATTTCGTACAAAAACACCAAAAGTTTTTCGTACTTTTAATTTTGTCTGCATACATACGGGACAATAAGTTGAAAATGCTATGAATTGTCATGAGTCTTATGAGACTAGATTTGTGAGAGTTTATTGTTGATTGTTTTTAATTGAATTTATGATTGTGATTTTGGTAGAAGCGGAGGAGTGTTTTTGAGCTCAAAAGCTTTTGGAACAAACAATCATTGACCTCTTTACTGGCGCGTAGCCAGGGGGTGGATATTGTGTCAAATCCCCCTTCGTCTTGAGAAATTTCTTCATTTTGCTAGAGTCATTATAAAAAACTCGAAAAATAACCCCCCCCCCCCCCCCCTCTTAAAATTCCTGGCTATGCCCCTGCCTCTTTAAGTTTACCACCAATTCCAAATACCCACAGAATACCAAAAGATCCAGCTACACTCTTGCCGCAATCAAATGAAAACTTTTAAATTAGATTTTAGATTTTACAGGTGATAAATGCCTGTTTCTCTACAGCATGTCAATAATTTCTAACGCATTCTATGCCAAATGATCTAGGACGTACTTTATACATACCAAAAACTAGATTTTTTGACATAAATGTTTTGTTTCAAAACTTTTTTCATTTATTTTACAGTTTATGTGATAGACTGAAGCAAATGCCATCACAAAAAGAATGCAAAATTCCCAAAAATATCCAACTTGTCTTCATGCATACTCAGTTTTAAAATTGCATTCTGCGGTGTTCTACATTCTATGCCATAAAAATTACTCATGTGTTTATGAATGTGCCACATAATTGTCATGTTTTGCCAAAAACAGATGTTTTTTTGGAATAGAATCTAGACAGTAAAAATTGGTTGTGTCTCTGAATAACAAATTACTTTTATGTGGACTATTGGTCATGCTTGAACATCTTTTAATGCTATCATATAAATTGAATGATAATGAGGTATGTACATAAAGTCTACCAGCATTAAAAATCCCAACTGAAACTTTTTCAACTCACAAAAAAATTTTAATTATAAAATCCACAAAGACTTCACATGCTTTGTCACCCGAGCGACATTTATCCGCTTTATTGCAGCCATAAGGTGGTCATAAGTCGTTGCCTACTGCCAACTGCCTTAAGTCAAGGCAGATCGATAATCGTCATACGACTGCCTTATTGCCTTGATGGCAACTCCTGACCTCCATATTTCCGCGCGCAAGGCTGTCTTGAAACTGCCACTGACTTGTAACCGACTTGCCTTGTAATCGCCTTGAAGTTGACGAGGTGGCACTCACACGACAGCTGTATGATCGACATACAACAATGCCTTAATACTGCCACAAAATTGCCTTGACAAATCTGAAATAAAATTACAAAAATAAATCAAAATTCAAAATCTGGATTTCAGTTAGGAGTTTATTACAATTTTTTATAATCAAAAACAAATTAAGATAAGAAATATCAATATTAAACTTTTTCGTTAGCTTTTGAATCAGCCTTCTTCATTTTACGAACAATTTCATTGTGGTCTTCATGAAAAAAAGCGGATTGCGTATTGAATAAATTTTTTTGCATCATCTAAATTGATGTAAATTCCTTCGGTGTGTGCTTTAATGACGTCAAAAGAGAAATATGTCCGAGATTGTTACGAATCTCAACACGACCTGAAAAGGAAATCAAGAAAAAAATATTTCATTATAAAAGTATCTTTAAAATGAAATCAATTAATAATACCATCATAATTGGGCCATCCAACATCTGATAAAAAGAAGTCTGAAGAAAAATACAGCTTTAGTAGAGAGATCGCTAGCCCATTTTTCGGGTCACCTTTTGCATTATCATTTACCATGCGTTTTGATAGATAACCCACCTAAAATAACAATCGAATTGTTAAGCTATGCTAAAATAGAAATATATAATAATACATACCAAGTTACAACTATTATTATTACAACGCTGTTTCTCAAATTCAGGATCAAAATTTGCTTGATTGTCAAATAAACTTAGCTTATGCTCAACAAAATCGATTAGTTGCGTGCTTTTAACTGGAAAAATTCTTATTTTTACAATAATTTAAGCACTTTAGAATTACTTACATCACTGATGGCTTCCATATCGACGTCTCTTGTAATATTTCAAGTCCAAACAGCACTTTTAATTGACTCTTTTTAATTATTTAATTAACTGACGAACCTAACACGTTAAACGATATGATACAAATGATGTAACAATGAAAAAATTCTTTTGTTCTACTCTATTGTTATTGTAGCAGCCACATGGCAGTCACAAGGCAGTTACTTGGTAATCGCAAGGTAGTCACATGATAATCACAAGGCAGTCGCATTTTAATCGCAAGGTAGTCACATGGCGCCTATAAGTCAGTTACAAGGCAGTTACAAGTAAAACTGCCTTACAACTGCTTTAATCTTTTCAAGGCAGTGTGGTGGCAGTCTCAGAACTGCCACTGCCACAAATTGTCGCTCGGGTCAATTACTCAATCTCCTCAAATTTGCCACCAAACTTCCATAAAAGGATCAAAGGACAGACAAATAGAAATTTGTGGGAAACATGACCTTTAAAGTGCTTCTGTGTGTGCTTCGTCTCTTTTAAATAACTGAAAAAAAAAATATCTCATGCCCTGATTTTTTTATTTCCCTCCAGTGGCTAGAACAAGTTTTTGTTATTTTTTTTTGTTGTTGTATTTCATTAAATAAAAACAACATGTGAACATAAAATTCATTCCTTTGTTATTACGGAAAACAATTTTAACATTTTTTTTTTCTTCTCTTCCTTCTCATGGGTGGATGAGTATTAAAAAAGTTTATTTCTCTTTTATCTGGATGTCCTACTGCACAGCAACAAAATATATAGGAAGGACAGCATTCAACATTCAAGTTTATAATTTACACTACATATATGAACCAGAAAAAAAGAAGGGAAAGTTTATCTTTCTTTTTATTTCTTTTGTATGCTGTACATCAACTGTAATGATAATATCAGGGAATTCAAAAGATCAACAGTCAAGAAAATAAATTAAAAAAAATTCCAGTGAGATGCCTTTGACTTTCCGTAAAGCACTTATTTCTCATAATGTGCCTTTTTATAATCATAGAATTGGAAATTAATTCCTTTTTGTCTATTTTTATGCTTCCGTTATTTCTTATTTTACATGCCATTATGAGAAATTACCAGAGGGCGAAGTCGACTCGAAATTTGTATGGAGTCGAGTGAACTCAAGTCGACTTTTCCATACAAAATCCGAGTCGACTTCGCCCTCTGGAAATTACTCTTTTATTTGGAATTCAAGGCAGGGATGTAGTCAGGGGAGATTTTATAGCAAGTGGTTTTGAGCAAGTGGTTTGTAGATGGCAAGAGATCACGTGGGCGGTCAAAGAACTCGAGGAAAGAAGCTGTTGATAGAGACAGTTTATCATTTGGTATTGGAAATTGGCAGACGGTAGCCATCGATAGAGCTAGTTATAGGCGTCAACTAAGGGAGGTCATGGATTACAATTGATCTGTACGACCAGCGAAAAGAAAGGAAGAGAGGTTCAGATTCCACTATAAACGATAGGTCTAAAAGGTGTGGAACAATAGGTTTACAATTGCAATGCCTAAATGCTGAGTCCTGAGGCTTAGTATTTTGAGAAAAATTAACAGTTTCCAACTACACCCCTGAATATTAGCATGAGTGAGACAGTCGCTTAGCGAGATAAAAGAAGAAAGCAAGCCAGTGAAAGTGATGTCATTTAGATTATTTTTTGTGATTAAGACGCAGATTTGGGGGTTGATGGATGTTTTAATTGAATTTATGCAGAGATTGTAGCTTTATGAATTTTACTGCGTGTAGACTTAGATGGATGATTAGTAGAACTAGACGTTCTAGTAGTTTTGTTGGTTGTTTAGACTATGTAAGGAAAATATGGTCAGATGGATGATGTTTATGTGCCTACATATCAGACTTAATATAAATTTGGCTTGCTAGTGTTGAGATATCTTCAGAGTATTGAAGTAAGACCTCAGAAGCATGTAACATTTGTCTAATCCATGATAAACCTCCATCTGAGCTTAACGCTAAGCTAAAGGCTCTCTCACAGAGCTAAAGACTCACTCACAGTACTATATGCTCAAATTTGAACAAATTCTACACGAATTTTGTGTGGTTAATTAAGCCTTCCTCTTGACTCAGATCAAACAAGTACAAAACATCTTAATTGAATTTCTCACATCCAATTATTGCTCAATTCATCCAAAAACCCACAATAAACTCAAATTGACATCTGAATCGTCGTCAAAATGACATTTAAAAATCCATCTATAAAAATAAATTTGACAAAATCTGTCAAATCCAATCATTTTAAATGCTTTTCAAGTAATATTGACTCTTAACATCAATAAATTCCACCAATCCACTCAGACGCCTAAAGTGGGTAATAAATTCCATTTTCTACGAACAATAATACGCAATAAATAAATCTGATGAAAAATGGAAAGGTTCCATACTTGAAGTTGCATGCTATTGCTTCAATATTAATGTTCTATGCTAACATTTGAGTCAAATTTTCTATTTATCAAAGCCATTTATCTACCTTAACTACTTATCTTTGAGAAGTTTTCTTTTTTATTTCAATTTTATTGGATATAGTTGAAGAGGATTATACCTTTTATTTTCAAATAAATTATTCGCATGGAAGATGTACAACAAGTCAATAAGAAGTATTCATGGCTGACGAAGAATAATATTTATGAAAATGAGAATTGGAATTGATTTATTTTTTAAAGGGAGGGAGCTTAGTGGTGGAATAAATTAAGGTCTTGTCGTTTGCATTGCATGGATGTTTCTTGTTCTTTGGAATACAAGGCGTATTCTCAAATACTTGTGGGGTGGGGGCTATGTTTTTTGGACGTAATAATTCAAGAAAACAGTCACTTATTTGTAAAGAATCCCAGATAAATCTCTAGTTCCACCACTGCCTTATATAAATTATAAAAAAAATATTTAAAGCATACAAACCTCCAAACGGAAAGAACTGCGAGTAAATTTCTTTAAACGTCTCTTCATAGATGAAGCCAGTTGGACATGATGCTTTAAATGAACGATACATTCGTTTTATCTCGTCCTCGGAAAATTTAGTAGCCTTACTGAGGCCCGACAATGATTCAGGATAATAGCGTACTGGCAGTATCAAATCTTCTTCCTCGCAACCTTCTATATACACACAAAATAAAGGGGGAGTAAAAAAATAGAGACTGTAAATAACGGTTGTGGATATAAAAAAAATACACAAAAAAAGAGAGAAAGAGAAACAAAAGGATGAGCTGAAGATAAAGATTAAATTATGTATTCATGTGAAGCCAACACAATTTTGTATGAGTGAGAAATAAAATTCCCCCACGACATTTTTTTTTCATTTTCTTTGAAGCATTCATTATAATAATTATTTTGAAACACACAGCAAGGCACTTGATGTCTTGATGGTGCTTTATATGTTGATGATATGAAGCTACACTTTCCTTTTGTTAAGTTTTATTTTATGCGGTTTCATAATTTTTTAGCGGATTTTTATGAAGAACCGAAAGAACAAAAGGTTTTTTTTCGTCATGTGAGGTTGGCTCTGTTACTGAGTGACTAAATTGTAATTGGGTTAAGTAGTTCTTTGAGTAACAGCTAGTTACATCGTTGACTATTTTAATTGCTTGATGCAGTATTTTGTAATATCAGATACTTTCGAGCTTTCGTATAGTTTCAGAGTCATTCCTTCTTCAGAAAGTCAATTTAAAGGGAGTTGTCAATAAATGATGTCTGAAAAAACTGTAGCTTGATTAGAGTCTGGTAAAAATGCGCTTTTTGCTGCAAATCTGTTACGCAATAAAAAAATCATCTACACCCATCCACATCGTTCAAGGACTTTTGTGCGTCGTCGTAAAGTTCTGATAATCGGTAAAATGAATGGAGGCTTAAAAAGGTCGCATTGATGTCACGAGACTCGGAGATTTTAAACTTTTATAAGAAACATAATTCATGTATTGTTCTCGAACTCGAATTTGTCTTTTATAATCTCGGATTTTAATGGGTTAACGTGTGCTTTATGTGATTGTAGAATTTAAAATGCCTCACTCGAGTTGAAAACTTTTTGTTTTCACGAAAGCTGAGATAATTGACAGAAGTGAAATACACTGCTTGAAAATCCATCAAAAACTCGTGTTGGTGATGGAAATTTTCCCAAGAGATTAAAGCTTTTTTAAAGGATATTTTTAGCATAGCCAAGCTTTAAAAGCATTAACAAGTGAATGATAAAATTATGTGAATGGTTGAGCATTTTAAATTATTAACTTTGAAAATGAGAATAAATTATCTTGGGCATTAAGACATGAAAAATAAATTTTCTCATTAGGGGTCGTTTGTAAATGATGTCCAAGTTTTGAAAAGGTTTGGCTGTAGATTTGTAAAAAATATGGGTAAAGGGTATCAAAAACCATATTTTTTATGAACGTCACTTATGAAAGACCAATTATGTTTTGCAGCCGCATTCTTTATTAAAATCAGAGCTCAATCAGAGACAAAATCGATGAAAATCTCGAGTCGACTTCGAGCTCTGATTAAAATGAACTTTATTCTTCATTTCTAGATGTGACAATTACTACAAAAATTCAGCTTGGAGGTATGTTCTTGAAAACTTTGACAACTATCATGACAATTGCTTTTTTGTCAGAGTATTTGGAAGAATAATTCAGAAAAAAACTTAGCAATTTGTGGAACTAGGTATGATAATTATCACAAGCTGCTACACTGTCAGTCATTAAGCTACTTGTTTAATTAAATACATCAATTATTTTCAGATTATGAATTAAAATTTGACTTTGAATCCCCCCATCCCTCCGCCTTCTTCCCAAATTAATAATTCGGATATAAAATTCCAAAGAAAATTGTTAACATTCCTCAAATTTTTGCACAAAATAAATTCGAAATCCTCACATCATGTTTATTTTTATCCTTACAAACAACAAACATATCAACTATATCCCATCATGCATACAAAGTTTCTTTTCTTTTTGAAAATCCTACTCAGAATCAAGAAAATACCAGCAGCGCTATCTTGTTGTTAGTCAGATAAGAGAAAATGTACCGAGGAAATCCATCACTATTTGACAGGAGTTTGTTAGGATAAAGAAAACATCATCAAAGAATGCAAAACAAGGTTAAGAATTAGTGGAGTTTGCCTTAAGGTGTCAGAATCATCTCATCTTTTCAGTGAGCTTTAAAATATTTTTTTTTCTGGATGAATTTTCAGCTGCATTAATTCTCACATTTGTATGCAATTTCCGAACACCGCAAGTGATATTTCAATGTTCATATTCAATTTGTGTACATGAAAAACAATTATTATTTTTATTGAGGAAGTTGGGATGAAACTTTATACCTTTAGGCAATTATTGCTATTTGATAATAAATTCATTGAAAAGAGATGTGATTGTATCGTGGCGGCATTTAGGGGTGAGTTAAGAATTTTTTTTGGAGGAACTGATCTTAGACTATAGTATTTGAGATTGAGGGAAGCTTTTAACATCTCTGTAATATTTTGTTGTCTATGCAGAATCTTAACAGTTGCCAACGAGCTATCTTGACCACACTAGACTTATATCTCCCAAAATTTTAAGGTTTTGCTAGCTAGACCCTATCCGAGAACTACTAGACAGCCACCTTAGTATACTACTGTTATGATGTATCGGAGCAAATTGTAGAAAAAGTCATGGAATTGACAGAAAAGAAAATGGAATTTTTATTTTTATTCTCATTCAATTTAAATGTTTGCTTTACTTCCACGTTGCATAAAAGTTTTGCATTATCATTTATCATTTCTTTTTCAACCCTAGTTCTTTTGAATATAACTTTATTCGCGTTGTAAAATAAGGAGAAGAAAATAAATTCGTATTGTACGAAAAAGAAGAACGTGAAATTTCACATTGCAAATAAATTTTCATCTCAATTCAGGCACGTGCTTTCAGTTTGAATCATACTCATAAGTTTACATGACTTACTAGCTTTATGCTACTTTATATTCGTGAATCTAAGAGGAAAAATAGCTGCATAATAAAAATGATCTGAAGGAAGTCTATAAAAAATTTAGTTTACAGTTCATTATTTACGAAAAAAACAGCAACTTGCTTGTGTTCTTTTCCGGATGCACACGATTATTTTTTTACTCGATGAAAAAAAATTTGAATTTACATAAATATTTTAATTTTCTATATCAGTGGTGTTCAACCTTTTTTGTGCCAAGCACACCTTGGTGGTAAGCCATGACAAAACAGCACGTGGCATGCGGCTTATTAAATTTTCTGATTTTTTTCGAGCCACATAGGTAGGCCATCACTGTTCTATATGTGTACTGAGTAAATAAATGGATATGGATATGAAAATTTTAATAATATCTATGTAGATACTGTGATAATGGCGCATTTGATTCATAAAGGATGTATTTGGAACATATTTGTTGAGTGATGTGTGCATAAAGGAAATATAAATGCTTTTGTATTAAAGGGGAGGAGGCTATAGTCTCTTTACTTTGACTTTTTTGGTTATGTTTCTATTTCAGAGTCATTAATCTGATTTTAAAAAATCTTGGAGACCCCTCTAACCTGTAGCTTTAATATTTTTTTTTTTTTTTTTTTTTTTTAATTGGTTCTTTATTTCATATATAAGCTTTTTCAAACTAATTTATATTTAACATGTAAATTTGTATAATTTGGTATTTACGTTATATTGTCACTACCCTTAATGGCTTCATAAAGATGTTCTTTAAGCTTCGTTTTAAATCTACTAATTGCTACTTGCTTTTTTATAATAGCAGGTAGCTGATTAAAACAATCTAGACCTCTTATGAAGAAATTTGAATAACAGAATATCGTATTGTAACTAGGCAATACCAGTAAATCTCTTGTTCGTGTAGGATAATTGTGAATTTCATGAACATATTGAAGCTCAATATTAATTTTTGCAGTGTGGTTGATAATTTTAAACATGAGGAGATTTGAGGATAGATTGCATAGGGATGAAACTGGGAGAATCTGTCGAGAGTACAGTTCCGTTCGGCTACAATCCCAATTTTTTTTAAATACAACTCGAAGTGCTTTTCTCTGTGCAATTTCAACAGATTCTATTAAATATTTCGGAGCTGCAGACCATACCGGACTCATATACATAATACGTGATTGGATATATCCATAATACATAAGAAGAGCAGTCTTTTCTGTGATTAGATGGCGCATCCTTCGAAGAGCAAAAGTGAAAGGAACGATTTTAGATTTTATGTCTTTAATGTGGTGAAAAAAATTTAAATTTTCATCAATTTCAAGACCAAGAAGTCTTATGTGTTCTACTCTTTCGATTATGATGTCATTGAGAGTCAAGTCCAGTGATTGTTCAGTGAAGAACTCATTTCTTCTTCTGTTATGAAATAGGAGGTATTTTGATTTTTCTATATTTGGGAACAGAAAATGAAATTTGAACCACTCTGAGATCAATGCAAGATCATGTTTAATGCTGGATTTCAGGAGCGAAGGGTCATCGGCACTTGAGACTATTGAAATATCGTCACAATAAAGATACATAGAAGAATGGAGATCAAGAAAATTCAAACTATTGACATAAAGATCAAATAAGGGACCAGAAAGTACACCTCCTTGCGCAGTTCCATTGTTCAACACCAGAATGTCACTTAAGATGTTGTTTAGTCTTACAGTTTGGCTTCTTTCATTGAAATATGATTTAAGCAGATCCATGAAAGACTGCGATAATTGAGTTTTTCTTAGTTTGTTAAGAATAATGTCATGTTGAACACAATCAAACGCCTTACTTAAGTCCAGACAAGTTAAAGCTGTCGATTTACGGTTGTCAATTGAGGAGTATACTCTGTCAAGAATGTGAATAACTGCCAATTCAGTGTTGGAGCTCTTCACATAGCCGAATTGATTTTTATGTATGATATTATTGTTGTGAAAATGTTCTTCCAGTCTTCTTAGAATTACGTATTCAAACACTTTTGCGAAGATTGGCAGTATAGTAATTGGCCTATAATTGGCTTTATTGGTGCGATCTCCTTTCTTAAATATTGGCGTTACAACTCCAAGCTTGAGACTCTCTGGAAATATGCCTGCAAACATAGCCTGATTAATGAGATTAGTAAGTATCGGAGCTAAAGCATCTTT